TCTGTTGTAATAATGTCTAAATTTACAATCAAATTGATTCGAGTCAATAGGACTGCTGTTGTGATACCAGTGCTGTTAATGGTTTGTTTTGTTACGTTAACAACATTTGCAAATTTAACGCCAGAAAGAAGATTAAGTTCACGAGTCGTTAGGACTAAATACGGGGGACTTCGGGGGTCTATTGTCACACTTCCTAATAAAAATCTACAACCCGTCGAAGTGTTTTTGGGTATGTTTTACACTATTATGTTGCATGTTCAGTTAATATTATCAATTTAGTAACATTCACTACTAACACACTTGTTAGTTAATTATACTATTACATAATTATTATTGTAGTACTACTTATTATATTATGTTACTATTATTCTACTAAATTTATACTAATGTACTGTTTATTTAATTCATTATTATAATATTTATTAACAAATCGTTGAATTCAGTATTTATTTAATTATTAATTAGTTTCCTAAACATAATGTTAAGTAAATCTAAAAAATTCATTTTAATCTCTTGAAGGCATTCCATACGCATCGCCACCGACTGGTAAATAAAGTGTTTATACTTTTATTTGCAATTAATCTTTTTATTAAGTTTTGGACATAACATGAAAATGTGCTGTAATTACAGGCAAACTGCGTTTCATGCCTCCGGTGACACCGGCCATCTGGTCGGGCACTCGCAGTGCACACACATTAGGCTCTGTTTGTCCGCAAAAATTAATTAATATAAGCAATGAAACGGAATCTCTGAAGACTATGACAGGCGGTCGACTCAGTATATTGAAGCGATTATTGCCTACACTTCACAACCAGAGCGAGGACTGTCTGTATCTAAATATCTTCGCACCGGCTAATGGTAAGTGTCTGTCCACTCGTACCACTATATGTCGCAAATAAAGTGCACACGACTTGTATAGCGATCTAAAAACCACGTCCTTTACATCAGTCGCTCACTTACCAGTCATATCAACCACGAGATAAGATTTCTCGATATAAATGTATAGATTTACTATATTTTTCTACACAATGTTTGCTTAAAAAGAGAGTATAAAATAAATAGACAGCCATTTGTTGGACGGATATCTCATACAAAGTGAAGCATTTTCTCATAGGTTTTAAGAAAAATTTGTTGCCTTTAATGAGATTCTGTTTTGGTATCGAAAAAAATGTGTTCAAACGAGTAGTCTGTTTTGTTATATATAGTCTGTATATAGTCTGTTATATATTTTATTTATAACAAATAAAATCCTAACAAAAACTTGTATTCTTTGAAAATAGAAACAAAAAATATGCAATTATTTTATCCTTTTATTGTCTGATAAAATAATATTGTTTGTAATTCACATTTTCGTAACATAAAGTGCTGACCAAAATAGTATTGAATAAATTATTAGTCGACTAATAAATAATTAATTATAAACTCTTTCTTTTGAAGTCATACTCGAGTTGTCTTTCCCTAGTAATTAGAGATCCAAACATTTTTCTTATACAAGAATATTCTGTATAATGTTAAACAATATATTGTGAGCACAAAAACTGTTATTTATTTTGATGACAAGTTCTTGTCTGAAAGAAATTTACTTAAATTCTCCATAATTTACCACATTTTACATATAAAGACAATAACTCTTTTTGGTTGAGAAAAATGAAATATATGTTTCATAAACAAAGATAAGACGAGTGATGTTATGTCTATAATATAGTGAATATAAACATAAAACCATTTATATTTTATTCCTACCCAAGATTTTGGGATAATTTTTAAAGTCATTTAGATTTAAATATAATTATCATTGACTTTATTTAAGTTATTTATTCTAATTACACCGGCAAGTTTAAAATCTATTCATTTTAATTAAGGGAAAATGTATGCGAATTATAAACACATAAATTTGTCTTAAATATGAATAAATTACAACTCGTTGAAAAAATATTTTCTCTAAGTTTTTCGTTTTTATTAATTTAAGACAAAAATTGATTTCCACAAAAGTTTTTCTCTTATTAATAAAAATAAGTGTTGACTGTATTTATTAAGACATCAAAACGTCTAAATTCTCAAACATTTTCTTTCTTTCTCTTTTCTTTTGAAGTCATACTCGAGTTGTCTTTCCCTAGTAATTAGAGATCCAAACATTTTTCTTATACAAGAATATTCTGTATAATGTTAAACAATATATTGTGAGCACAAAAACTGTTATTTATTTTTATGACAAGTTCTTGTCTGAAAGAAATTTACTTAAATTCTCCATAATTTACCACATTTTACATATAAAGACAATAACTCTTTTTGGTTGAGAAAAATGAAATATATGTTTATATATAATAATATATGAAATATAATATATATGAAAAATACGAGTGATGTTATGTCTATAATATAGTGAATATAAACATAAACCGATTTATATTTTATTCCTACCCAAGATTTTGGGATAATTTTTAAAGTCATTTAGATTTAAATATAATTATCATTGACTTTATTTAAGTTATTTATTCTAATTACACCGGAAAGTTTAAAATCAATTCATTTTAATTAAGGGAAAATGTATGCGAATTATAAACACATAAATTTGTCTTAAATATGAATAAATTACAACTCGTTGAAAAATATTTTCTCTAAGTTTTTGGTTTTTATTAATTTAAGACAAAAATTGATTTCCACAAAAGTTTTTCTCTTATTAATAAAAATAAGTGTTGACTGTATTTATTAAGACATCAAAACGTCTAAATTCTCAAACATTTTCTTTCTTTCTCTTCAGTACGAAATGAAAATTATTTTATTTTTGCTTTTTTGGTGCAAAACTCGATAAGTTGTACGAAATTCAGTGAAGTGTTTGATGCGATAATAAGTGAGAAATAGTATAGCAATTGAATATTCTATCGAAATATGCTTTTCATATGTATTTCATATGCTTTCTCTCCATAATATTTATAGAGCTCTCAATTCTTGTCTTTTAGTTTCTCTGACAATAATATACGAGAAATGCGTTTAAATTTCAAATTCATTCAATCATTCATTCAAAGCACACATCTGTTCAACATTTAAATATGTTTACAATGTTTTGCGAGAATATTCTGTTTTAAAACCAAAATTTTAAGAGTCTATGCAATAAATGTATGGCTCGTGTAATTAAAATTACTAATTGTTAATAAAATTCTAGTATTTTTAATTTTTATGATTGAATACATTTGTCAGACATTATTATTGACTTTCACTAGTCTGCGATTTGTATTGTTTTGAATACTAATTAAATTAGATTTTTGGTAATAAATTAAAAATATTTTAACGGAAAATACGGAAATGTTATTTATATATTTAAATTCAGAAATTGCATTTCGTGTCGAGAGCTTCAGACTCGTTTTTATAGCCATCAAATGATTTATGATATACATATCCAGGTTTGTAGATTTCTGAAATTAATTTATTCAGTAGTTTTGATATTTTATTCCCTAATAATTATGAACTTGTTTGATATGTCTGAACAAATTTGTCTGCATTTGAATCAATTAATATATAAATGTCTTGCACCGATACTCAATTTATCTCTTAAAAGACATTTTAGTTGAATTCGTTTTGGACATTCACTTGCACTACATTTTTGTTTTATTAGTAATATAGCACTTGAAGTTAATTATCCAGATTTTCATTTCTTAGATCTCATTTTTGTGAAAGGAATTCAATGTTATGAATGTCTGAAAATAATATATGTTTTATATATTTAATAAATTAAGACAAGAAAGCAATAAATTTGGCCATTAGTTCGACTTCTATTTGTTATGAGTCTCTCCGAGAAATTTCATTTCAATTAAATCAATATTTGAACTCTAATTTTGTTCACTTAAATGCATTTCATGAACCATAATAATGAACACCACTATATACTTTACGGTATAATTTATGAACAATATTCTGTATTAGACATAAATAGTTAATAAATAATTAATGAGTTTACGACTAAAGTATAGCATTTGTATTTATTATACAAAATATCTAAGATAAAATACTAGCTTTATATTCTGTGACTATTTATATTCTGTACTAAATTTAATTATATTTTAAATATAAGATTCTTACAGATTCTGATCCAAACCTTAAAATAAATATAGAGTTCATGTGATAACGCATTTTGTGTCAAAGAAAATGTATTTTTGTAACTATTAATAAGCATAACATATAAGAAAACGAAATGTTTTGATGAAACCAATCATTAAATTTGAACATAAAAATAGGAAACTGAAGACAATTTTGTTTTTATATTTAATTTCTTTCTCTTTATTTGTGTCATAACTTTTAGTCTCTGTGTGTCTCTGTGGCCACAACTCTATGTTATATATAATTATTTTTATAAAAATTTCCTAATATATGAGGTCCTGTAAAATCAAACCCTTAATGATTTCATAGTTTATGACTACTCTAGCCTACCAGAGCTGATAGGGTATTACAGTATTTATGAACAATATTCTGTATTAGACATAAATAGTTAATAAATAATTAATGAGTTTACGACTAAAGTATAGCATTTGTATTTATTATACAAAATATCTAAGATAAAATACTAGCTTTATATTCTGTAACTATTTATATTCTGTACTAAATTTAATTATATTTTAAATATAAGATTCTTACAGATTCTGATCCAAACCTTAAAATAAATATAGAGTTTATGTGATAACGCATTTTGTGTCAAAGAAAATGTATTTTTGTAACTATTAATAAGCATAACATATAAGAAAACGAAACGTTTTGATGAAACCAATCATTAAATTTGAACATAAAAACAGAAAACTGAAGACAATTTTGTTTTTATATTTAATTTCTTTCTCTTTATTTGTGTCATAACTTTTAGTCTCTGTGTGTCTCTGTGGCCACAAACTCTATGTTATATATAATTATTTTTATAAAAATTTCCTAATATATGAGGTCCTGTAAAATCAAACCCTTAATGATTTCATAGTTTATGACTACTCTAGCCTACCAGAGCTGATAGGGTATTACAG